CAGAGTATTACCGTATAAGAGAATATTGCTTTTTACTGGTCAATGATAAAATTATTTTCTCAACTGCGTTTTATTCATATTTACGTCGGAGCTTTTCTTCAGAAAAAATTATTGGAAGTAGTATTAGTTTTTAGTGAATTTAGGACTACTGATCTGAGGGGAGGGGGAGGGAGGGAGATTGATGCGTTTGACGCAGCTTTGGGCTCTTAGGAGATGACGAATTTTTAAAGTTTTTATTGGAGTTTGAGTGTTCAACTTGTTGCCGCGAGGGTTTTTTTATTTTGTTCCTGAGTCGTCCTTTTTGCCGATAGTTTTGGCTCTAAGCATTTTTGTCTTCTGGTTGACCTGTGAAGTAGTTTTCAGGGCTGATGCTGGTTTGTTGAATTCGTTGTCGTTTCTCAATGAAGGTCGCTCTACACAGCTCTTAAATTTAAGGCTTTATGAGCACCATTTTTATTTATCTTTTAGAAGAGTTTGTACTGACAATTATGCCTGCAGTTTTGCTGAGTGCGACTGGTAATATCCTAGTCTACTTGGCAATGTATTCTCAGCCTCATTTATATTGAGGCAAGTCGAGAATATTTTTTGCTCTGAAACCGGGGTTTCTCTTGCTTGTTTATGTTCTTAGGTTTAGTTTTCTTAATTTGGATGCTACCACTTCCTTGTTAAGCTTTGGTAAGCGCATTTGTTACGGACAGGATAAAGAGAAGTGTATCACTGCTACGCAGCACAGAAGAACTATTAAAACCGAATAGTTGTTAGATGCGATTAGGTGTTTTGTCTGGCTCAAGTAAAGGAAAAATGTAACAATAGTTTGATGTTGTTTTCTGATTGGTTTTTATTGTTGTTTTTTAAGAAGCACGTAAACTCGTCTTAATTTAGCTTTATTAAAGCCTTACCAGAGACTGGCAGCGACAGTAACGTACAATAAAATATGAATAATTTTTCCATTTACTGATCGTTGCTCCTCGATTGGTTTTTTCTAAAATAGTAAAGCAAATTTAATGGTTTATTGCTTTTATTTTTGAGAAACATCAAATACATCTACCATTTTTTTGAGATTCAGTATTACGGTTGGTGTACTCAAATAAAGTTTGAAAGAGATTGATATGTTAGGCGACAGCGCAAAGCTAAACTGGATTTTATGTTCACACTTAGCTTTTCTTACTTTCATGTGAGGTCATGTCTGATTCTTTCTTTTTTTTTTTGCATAATTACGTCGTTCTGCAGATGGATTGTTAGACAATTACGCGGAAAGAACAAGAATTTAGTTGTTCTGTCAGCAGTTTGATTTTAACGACAAATTTTTCTATTTAGATTTGGTCTTAGACTCATAAGACTTATAAAAATGACGTAAGGTTTAGACATAATTTCTGTCTTATGCCTCAAAACAATTATCAGAATAAGAGAAACTTATACTAATCAAAAATATTACGAAGAATTTTTTTATGCTTCATTCAATTTTAGCAAGAGTTTGTTGCAGAATACTTGGGATAACTTTTGGACGTTTAAACTTTAGTCGGGAACGGATTGTTGTTGGTATAATTTAATATATGCTAAAAAAAAAGTTTTTAGTTTTTTGTTTTTTGAGTATTGTTTACACTTAATCAATTTATTGTTCATGTTGCTCACTAATTAAGTAGTTTATAGGTTTTTGGCAAACAAACATGTCTGATACGTGAACAAAAAGTGATGCTTTCAAATGGGCAGTCTAAATAGTACAAATAATTAAAGAACTAATTTAAATTTTCAATTTTGGCATATCTTTACATAGCATAACTTTGCAAGCGTTTTATTCAAAACCGTTAAAAACAAAGTGTTTGTTGTTCATTATGGTGAATAATATGCCTTTTTTTTTAGTTTACTAATGAACACAAATATAGATGGAAAACGTCAATTTACGACAATAAGTATAAAAACTAATTTTTTTTTAAACTTTCAATTGGATTTATGCATGTTTAGCATTGATAATGACTACAGCTATTGGTAGGCAACTGTTTTTGGGACTGGAGGGAGAAATCTGTAGATAATACTGCATTAAGAATCTGTCCCATTTTTCTTGAAGTTATTGTTGCTAAAATGTTGACCCTGTGGGATTCAAAAAACGATGAATAATTTTGTTGTTCTTGAGAAAGTTTGACTACCTAAGTTTTTTTGTTTTATACATTTTCTTGCGTTAAAACGTTCTAGATTTTTCTTAAAGTTTTTATTATATAAGTTTTATTGCAGTAGAATAATTGAATAAAAATTGTACTAAGAAAAAGAATAAAAGATGGAATATGCAGAACGGTGGATTTCGATTTGCAGAACGGTATGGACGCTGGAACAGTAATTGTGGTAGGAAAAACAGTCAGTGTAACTTATAGATTTCCTACAATCATCGAATACTGCACATTAATTCATACAAATATTTTTGTCATTATGACAGAGGATGAGTTTAGGATATAAACTGATCTGTTGACTGGATATATACATTAGATTTGCATTAATTTTGTACTTTTTTTTTTGTAGATTATAACTATTACCACAACAAGTTTATAGCAAAATGAATTGCTGTGTCAGTTTTAACAAACAGATAAACAAGTTGAACTGTTACTTGAACTTTTATGTTGGTATTTCGAGGTTCAAAGTAAATAATTGTATACTATATAAGTTACCATAAATTTGTCAAACAATCGTGCACTCAATGGTGGGAACTTCTTTTAACCCCAACTATAATTTGTTTCAATAAAAAAAATTTTATTTTCTTGTCTGGTATTTACAGCACCTTAGCTATCACCGGGTCTGTTATCATAGTTTGACTTTTTAATCAAATAAACTAATGATTACAATGTTTGCAGAAAACAGTTTTAGCAATAGTGGTAAAACTGCTTGCAGAACTGATGACAACTTCTGAAAAATGGCCAGTAGATTTTTGTACAGTTTCAAAAAATGGTAAAAACATTGGTGTTTATTGAAACAGCACTTAATATGGGTACCAAAATAAAGTTGCTACATTGAAAAATTTTAGTTTGGGTATTTGTTATCATTTATTTCGCTGTTATGCTGTTCAAAACTTATTATACCTATTGTAGAATTACCGATTTGCATCATGCGTTTTGTCGCTTTGATTATGACGCTGTTCACATTCACAGTTGCATACGAACGTAATATTTACTCTACGGTTTTTCCACCAATAATTAGTGGAAAACGTTTAAGTTTGATTTTAGTAAGAAAAGTCAAAGAAAACAGGTTTATGATAAAAGAAAATTTTGATAAGATATTAAGTAGGATTTTTTCCAAGTCAATTTTTTTAGCATATTCATGCATTTTAGCTGAAATTGAGCAGTGCTCTAGCAGTAGTAGCCTGACTTCTGAGCTACGTCAAGTTGTTGTTGACCTGCACAACAAGCTCAGATCTTCTGTTGCACTTGGTATTGCTTTGATGAGAGGTGGACAGAGGTCACCATCTGCAAGTAACATGAACAAATTAGTAAATTTTGGTCTTTTTTTTGTTTCAGTCAAAGGTTCTGTCTGAATTGATAAAGCATCTGTTGGTAAATTTGAAAAATTACTTGTACACTGTAATAACGGATAAAGCCTATGATTGATAAATTTTAATTGCAGGTATACGACTGTGATCTTGAGAATGAAACTCAAGAGTGGGTTGACAAGTGCAAAATGTCACACTCGTCTGATTCAAGAAACGCTTCAGAAAATTTGTACATGGCGTTCAATTACGACACCACTGCTGGTAGGAATTCTTAATTTTGTTTAAGCATTTCTGCACTTATTTTGCTGTCTAGCCTGATTCAGATTTGCCTTAATTTTTCTGATACGACACTTTGCAGCTTATCATCTGCGATCTGCGATAATGACATGGTTCAATGAAATTCATGAATACAACGTTTCAGAACCAAACAATCTTCTTACTGGAGAAATGTTTAACACTGGTATTGGCCATTTTACCGCTGTAAGTATAAATTTAAGAGAAATTAAGAAGAACACGAAACTTTTATCAATTTTAAACTAAAAGAATTCTTGTTTGAAACGCAATATTGCAGTTAAACAGTCAAAACAAATCAGAAGTTAAATCAAATAAACCTGAAAAAGTCTTTAGATTTCTAGATGTCATGGGCTACTTCTACTCGTGTAGGGTGTGGTTTTTCAAATCACTGCAAATTCGTTTTTTTTGCTTGCCGTTATCGTCCGACGTATGTTTTTTCTTTTTGCTTTTATAAGCATTCGAGCAAAAAAAAAAAAAGAAAAAGAAGTTTTAAGATGACTTCAACTTTAGGGGTAACGTGTTAGGGTTTTCAATCTACTTACCGGGACCGGCCTGCAGCAGGTGTGCGGCAGATAAACAGTGTTTGCTTTCTGAGGGTCTCTGTTACTAAACTGTGCCTACTTTGTTATTGTTCAAATATAAAACTGCATTTCTGATGCAAAGTTGTTTTAAACAAAAATATTAACTTAATATTTGTAAAGAATAAATAAA